TTACAAAATAATTACAAAAATCATGGCTGAACGGCTAGCTGATATCCTACCAGGCATTGTTTCTGAAGGTCAAAATGCTTTCATTCGTGAAAGAAAAATTATTGAGAACATCCTGATTGGACACGAATTGATGCATTACTTGAAAATCAAGACACGGGGTAGGAAAGGGTACATGGCTCTAAAGGTTGACATGGAAAAGGCCTATGATAGAGTTGAGTGGCCCTTCTTGCTCGCTGTCCTCGAGAAAATGGGTTTCAATTCTGTCTGGATAGGATGGATCCATGAATGTCTTCGCTCGACATCTTTCTCGGTTTTAATGAATGGGAACCCTTTAGGATATTTCAGGCCCACCCGTGGACTTCGGCAAGGGGATCCTCTATCTCCCCTGCTTTTTGTAATTTGTACCGAAGTTTTTGCTGCGCTTCTTCGCCAGGCAATTGCTGATAAGAGACTGGGAGGTGTGAAAGTTGCTCCTAGAGCTCCTCGTATCTCACATTTATTCTTTGCTGATGATTCTTACTTATTCCTGAGAGGTAATCTCCAGGAATGTGAAAATCTGATCGAAGTTCTAAATGAGTATGAGGAGTTAAGTGGTCAACGAGTGAATTTGGACAAGTCAGCGGTCTGTTTTAGTAAGAATATAGTCCCTGCCGACCAGGAGTTCTGGCTGCGATTCTGGGAGTGGGTGCGGTAGGGGTCCAGGATAAGTACTTGGGACTTCCGACCCTGATAGCCCGGTCGAAGATAGCTACCTTCCGTTACCTGGAGGAGAAGCTGCTGGAGAAGTTACAAGGGTGGAAACAACGCACTTTGTCTTGGGCAGCGAAAGAAACCCTGATTAAGTCCATAGCTCTAGCTTTACCGTTACATGTAATGTCCTGCTTCAAGATGCCACTGTCTCTTTGTAGGCTGCTTGATAAGCATGTAGCCAGGTTCTGGTGGGGCGTGACTGAGGGTCAATCCAGGATTCATTGGATATCCTTGCGGAATATGTGCAAAAGTAAACACGATGGGGGTATGGGTTTCCGTCGGTTTGAACATTTTAATCAGGCTCTGCTGGCAAAAATTGGGTGGCGAATCCTCCAGGACCCCCAATCCTTACTAGCCCAGGTTTATAAAGGCAAATGCTTCTCGATGGGGACCTTTCTCCAAGCTCAGGCACGTTCGCGGCCTTCATGGGGTTGGCAAAGCATTCTTTTTGGGCGACAGTTGCTTGAGCAGGGCTTACGTTGGCAGATTGGTAATGGGGAGTCGGCATCGCTGCTGTTCTCAAATTGGATTCCTCATCTGCATCCTGAGAAGCCGGCCTATAATCCGCAGGTACTTCCTGTTGGGGGGGACCCGGTGGTGGCGGAAGTTATGGCTCAGGAAGGGGATGGGGGGTGGTGTGACACTAAACTAAGCCAATGGTTTGACCCTCCTACATGTCGAATGATTCAATCTATTCCTCTTCCAAGGCAGAATATGGCGGATAAACTGATCTGGCATGGCACGCCTGATGGTGTGTTCACTGTCAAATCTACTTATCATTTGGCCGTTGACCTAGCAAGAAGGAATGGTTGTTGGAGGGATACGGCCAGTTGGATGGATAGAGCCAGTTGGATTTGGCTTTGGGATGCTGATATTCCCCCGAAATTAAAAGAATTCGTTTGGCAAATTTTTCATCGTATCCTTCCCACCACAGAGGGTCTCATTGAAAGAAGTGTTCCTTTTGCTCCCTCGTTGCCCGATATGCTGGGAGGCTTCAGAAACTATGGAACATCTCTTCTTGGACTGTCCGGTGGCTCGGGCTTTATGGGACTATTCAGGGCTTGAACATCTGGGCCAAGGCTTGCCTCGCCACACCTTTCCTTTGTTTCTCAAACGACTGTTTGCCTTACTCCATCAACCTCGTATGGTCATGGCTGTGGTAGCAGTTCTTTGGAGGATTTGGAAGTCACGTAATTGGGTGGTCTTTGAGGGAAAGCAGCTTGGGTTCCCGGCCTTGATGCGGCAATTCCATCAACAGTGTGACGAATGGGACCGGGTACCGTCTGAGAGGGCAGAGATGGGGCTAAATCCTACTGTCCATCCTCCAGGAGAGCCGGGGGGTACCTCGCTGGTATGTATGTGGGACGGGGCTACAAGAGCTGGGTCACATGCTGCGGGCGTAATGGTGCTCCTTGATCATCATAGGGTGGTCCTCCGGGCGCAAGGGATCCAATATCGGGTTATTGATGATCCTTTAGTGACGGAGGCGCTTGTCCAACGGGAAGCTCTCTTCTGGTGTGTGACGAATGGATTCCAGGAAGTACGTTTTGAAGGCGATGCCAAGATCATCATCGATAAGATCAATCAAGCGGATACTAGAGATTGTAGGATTGGGATGCTCTTGGACGAAATCATGCAATGTATGGGCAATCAGCCGGGGTTTAGTTTGCGGTTTGTAGGACGGAGGAACAATAGGGTAGCCCATGCGGTGGCTAGGAATGCCCTTTCTTTGTACCCGTCTATGTGTCGCTCTTTTAATTTCCAGACCTCGTTGTTCTCCAGGATGTAACTTTGTCTATTCTTCGATCAATATATGATTATCTTTTGTAAAAAAAAAGATTAAGGGTGAAAACAATAATAATAATAATTAATTAATTAAACCTAGTAAGTCGAGGAATTAATTCTAGTTATGTACCGGGCTGATTGATGAAGTCGTCCCAAATGCTGGGGCCGGGGCCGCGGCCGCCCTTGTCAGCCATGCCTTCCACCTGGTACGCCAACGTGGCCGTCCCGGACAAGAAACCCTTCGGGAAGCTGCTCCGGCTAAGCCCTCCGGTGTCCAAACCCACGCGCGCGCCGTAGCAGAGGCCGCACCACGACAGCAACACCACCAGCATCGAAGAAGAAGACGGCCGCGGCGGAGAACGACTTTCTTTCCTCATTCTTCCCAGCTTACAGCTTCACCCAACACGCTGCCGTGAGTAACAAAAAAAAAAGAGAGAGATTAGAGAGAACAGAAGCGATGCTGAGAAAGAAAGCAGCGATGAGCGCCAGCTGTCGATCTTTATAGGGCATGCACAGGCCACGTAGGTTGATAATTATCCACACTGGATATTAGGATAAATATCATCGTCGTTAATCCAAAATGGAATGGATATAATTCCATGATTATCCTCAGAAAGGATTAATTTTAGCCTCAATTTTAGTCTGGAGGATGTGCATATCCAAAATTTTACGCATACGAATATGCTAATTGAGAGCCTAGAGAATGATATAGGATTAAAGAAACTGGGAAATCCTATTGAGCCCGTGCTGTAGGGGTGGCTATACGGTCCGGTCCGGTTAAATTGGTCCAAATTGATTCGGTCCAGTCCGGTTTTTTTGAAAATATAAGGACCAAAGATTGGATTGGATACAGTCCGGTCTTGATCCGGTCCGGTCTTGACCCGGTCCGGTCCCAATTCGATCTTGATTTTATATTGAGATTGTGGGAATTTGAGTGGCCTAAGGCCTAAAAGGGTGAGGAGTTGGTTAAGTTTTGTACTAAGTGCAAAGGTTTGTGACCGTTTATGCAAATTACACTTAAGTTTTGGGTGTTGAGCTCTCTTATCCGGTTTTTTACCTCAAATCTAAGCCCAAAGATTGGATTGGATTGTTTACTATCCGGTCCCGGTCCGGTCTCGGTCCGGGTTATACGGTCCGGTTTCCGATTTTTTATCCGCTCCGGTCCAAATAGCCAGCCCTACCGTGCTGTGAACAATCAACCGTCCCTATTTAGTCTTTAGTTTACTTTTTTTTTTCTTCTTTTCTTCTATTGTTAGATATTGCTCTATGAAAAGGATCAAAAGCCAAAACATTAGGTTTTCATTTGTTTCAATTATTTTAATTATTAGTTTTGTGTTCAATCAATTGGTGGAATGTCATTTCGATACATTTTATTTATAATGTTTATCTTAATTTTAAAAATTAATTTGAAGTGCTTAATTTCGTATAATCATACAGTTATTCGTATAACCATATTAGTGATCCAACATTATATTTTTAATGATTATGACATTTGTCACTTGTCAATAACCATACAGTTATTCTATTGTTAATGATTGAACAGAAAATTTACATAACAAAAATAAATAAAAAAAGACAAAACCTATCATAAATAGAAAAAAAAAACATAACCATAATATTTATCCAACACTTGTTGGCTTTGACGATGCAATACATATACATTAATATGAGCTAAGCTCGCGAGTTGGCTTGTTTAGTGATTGTGAAAGGATTAATTATTTTTATGAACATGAACATTATCTTGTTAATACAGATTTGTATGGAATGTAGCTGTGTTTCTTACGTTTTAGTGGTTTTATCATTTAAATTTATATGTTTATATATTTTTCAGCAAGAATGATTACAAACTGAGCACATCTTGAGCCGAGTTTATACTACGCTTGACAAGTTGTGTTAATGAGCATTTACCGAGCTCCACTGAGTCGAGCTCGAGCTAGATTATTTTTATTCAAGCTGAGCGCAAGCTCAAACTCGAGTTGGATCATCAAAATTTGAGTTCGAGCAGAACTTGAACTGAAAAATTTATAAATGAACCGAACTCAAATTAAGCAAAAACTCGACTCGTTTGCAGCCCTACCTGACACTCATCAATGAAATACTAGTTGTTCACTTGTATTAAGTATTAACTGAGAGTGTTTCCGCAGACTAATAAGACTTACTCAATTTTATCTTCATGGTTTTGGTCACCTTTCAGACTCGACTTTAGCCTGATGAGTTTGGCCACCTTTCGAACTTGATCCTTTCTTTCTATGACACTTTGAGGTGTGACGATCCCAGTTGAGAAGGGTACTTGATCTTCCTTGTACTATAGCAGAGGTGAAGTTGGTCGGAGTCCAGATATATAAGCCTGTTCTGCACCAGGGTGATATGGGCTCTCAAGCTGAAAGGGGTAAACGAGTACGAGTACCTTGAATAAGATCTGCTAAGCTAAACAAGAGCCTCATTCATCCTTCTCAAATACAATCATGTGCAGAAGAAAGTCCCCGTGCTTGTCCACAGCGAAAACCCCGGCCGGCGTAGAATCGCTCGTGATCCTCCAGTACGTACATCGACGAGATATGGCCTTCAATTCAACCCCTTACTTGCTCCCCAAACATCCTTATCCGAGATCCCAAGCTCGCTTCTGGGCCGAATTCTCCGACCAAAAGGTACGACGAGAATAGAAAACGAAATGGTTTGCTACACTTGCTTGAATTCTTCATTTGTTGTTAATCATTTCGACAGTGCGTGTTTAGAGCATGGAAAGCTTTTTGGCGGCCGAAAGGCGAAGAGAAAGACAAGGCCATTGAAGTTTCAGTGGAAAGGTTTGAGTACCTTGAGAAGCGGATTCAGGGCAAGACATTCTTCGGCAGTGGAGAGGACGGTGAAGAAGAAGAAAATGAGAAGATTGGGCATTTGGATTTGGTGTTGGGTTGGATCCAACTATGAGTTGATGTCATGGAAGAAGTTGGAGAGATGAAACTGCTTGACCCTCAAAAGTTCCCATGTCTCTGCCAGTGGAAAGGTTTTTATAACTTATTTAGTTAAAAACTCCGCTTTAAAACTTAAAAATTTACTATTTTACGCTTCTAGATTACCAAAACATTTCTACGTAGAAACTCACTTTTGACCACACTGACAACATCAATAGCTATTATTATTATTATTATTAAAAAAGAACAAGTAAGATGTGCAATATTATTTAGAGTCACATCACAATGAATTTTTTATTGTTAAACTTTTTCTTAGTTAAATAATTATTTTATTGTTAAACTTTTTATTAGTTAATCAAATGTTTTAATTACTTCATTTCATCTCAAACTCATGTGTAGTCAACCTAATCGATCCGGTCCGGTGTTGCCGATTTTGGGTCATGAACGGATTTTACTCACTTTTGAAATTAACGCATCGGGTCGGGTGTGGCTTTTGTTAACAACAGTGTTCAATCTAATTCAACCTGGTCCCGTTGTTGGCGATTTTTTGGTCGAGCATGAATTTTGTTCAACCTAATTCGACCCGGTCCCGTTGTTGGCGAATTTTGGATCGGGAACAAATTTTACCCGTTTTTGTTCGACTTATCAGGCCGTTCAAAGCGAGTTGAATCCATTGTTGACGAATTTTGGGTTGGGGACGAGTTTTACCCGGTTTTGTAATTGTTGGGTCGGGTGTGGTTAGGGTCGGGGACGAGTTTTATCCGAGTTTATGTCCTTTTATGATTTTGGTTGAGAAAAAATTTTACCGACTTTTGTAATTACGCATTGGGTCGGGTGTGGTTTTGTTAAAACTAGTATTCAACCTAATTCAACCCGGTCCCGTTGTTGTCGAATTTTTGGTCAAGAATGAATTTTACTCACCGTTGGGTCGAGTGTGGATTTTGTTCAAGGGGTGCTCTTTTCGTAATTAACCAAAACTTGAAGGAGTTTTTTCCATTAAGTTTCTAATTAGTTAGCTTATGACAATTGAGTCCGAATTGAACCAAAATCAATGGGTGTTTGAATATTTGACACAATTCATTGAACCAAAATCAATAGGTGTTTGAATATTTGACATAATTCAACCCAGTTAGAGCAAGTTAGACCCGGTGTTGAAGAATTTTGGCTCAACAATTGAACTCGATGTTCAAGAATTTTGGCTCAACAATGAGTTTTTCACGCTTAAATCAATGGGTATCTGACCTAATGTCTACCCAGTTAAAGAGAGTTCAACCCGGTGTCTAGGTTAAAGCAAGTTGAAACCGGTGTTGAAGAATTTTGGCTCAACAATTGAACCTGGTGTTGAAGAATTTTGGCTCAATAATTGAACCCAGTGTTGAAGAATTTTGGCTCAGCAATGAGTTTTGCATGCTTAAATCAATTGGTATTTGACCTAATGTCGACCGGTTAAAGCGACTTCAACTTGGTGTTTGAATATTTGGCGTAATTCGACCCGGTTAAAATAAGTTGAACCCGATGTTGGCAAAATTTGGATCAACAATGAGTTTTGCACGTTTAAATCAATGTAATTCGATCCGGTTAGCGTGAGTCGAACTCGGTGTTAACGCATTTTGGGTCGAGGATGAGTTTTACATGCTTTTGTAATTGTCGGGTTGGGTTGGTGTGACTCTATTAAAAACTCACACTACTTTGTTTTCTTTAACTAAAGCATGGAGGAGTTTTTTCCATTAAATTTAATTAACTTATTCGACCTAATTTGACCCGTTAAAGCAAGTTGAAATCGGTGTTGGCGAATTTTGGGTCGAAAATAAAATTAACCCGCTTTTGTAATTAATGAATTGGTTCGTTCAAGTGTGGATTTTGTTACAAATTTGTTATATTTTATCGAGTTGAATCCAGTGTTGACAAATTTTCGATTGGGATGTGACTCGTCCCGAATATCACAACAAATTCCCACCTAAGCCCAAGTATAAACCTTAGATGGGTGCAATATAGGGCAAGTATGTTTAAATATCAACCCGGGCCGGTCCATGTACCCCTACTTTCATTGTTTGAAACATTATCTAGCGGATTGGTTTTTGGTTGAAAAGTATGAGATTGAAATCGAAGCAAAGCAAAGGTAAATGGTTTGAAAGATCTAGATGAGAAGGATCACTCAGGTGTCGCTTTCCCCTAACTACTATCATGGCACGTGGACTCGAATGTGACGTTATGGGCAAGGCAATCATGAACCGTTAGGAGGTGCAACTATGGCTGAAGACTACACTCTCAATTGCCAAACCAAGGGATTTATAGGCTACAAGAGTAGCCCTCTTGGTTAAGGCAATTAATGGTTGACTTACCTTCTCCCTCAAACCGATGGTTGGACGGTTTAATCATGATTAACCTAGTTGATTAATTCAAGATAGAGGTTTGCCCTACATTAACCTAGGTAGTTGGCTTGTAAAGCCCAAGGAATCCCAACTCAATTGAGACTCTTTTGAAAAGGGGGGTTTCCCCTCTAACCTAGGTTAGAATGGCCAATTAGATTGCTAAGCACACATATGCACAATCATCATGAAAAATACCTCAATCATTAAATTAAATAACATCCATAAAAAATTATTCAAGTCACACTACAACTACATGGAAAATAGTTAGGGTTTCACTACACCCAAGTGAAAAAGAGTACTACTCCATGCTAGAAAAGGGAGAACACAAGAAAAAGAAGTAGAAACCATCATGGTGATGCCTCCAATCTCCTTTGAGCTTGTGTTGATCTTCTCTTGGGGCAAACCCTAGCCTTCTTCCTTCCTTGGTTCGTCCTTTCTCTCTCTAAAATCTGAAGGAGAAGACACTTCTCACTCTTGGGCTCCCCCTCTCTCTTCCTTTCAGCTCCCATTTTATTGGGATTGGGATTAGTTCACGGCATCAGTTCACGGTCGTGAACTCGTCAACGCGTCCGTGAACACAGAGCGTTGTATCGAAACACACCGCTTCACTCACATGAGTTCACGGTTTGCACTAAAATTTCGCGGTCTTGTTGACCGTGAACTCGTCTTGCATCAGTAACTGCAGAATTTGCCCTGGACGCTTTACGGTTCACCATTTTGGGCTTCAGTTCACTGCCATAGGAGACCGTGAACTCCAATGGGAAACTGTGAACCTTGCCCGAATCACCCTCTTTGCCCGGTCTTTGTCTCTTTTCGTACAACTTTCATCTCCGAGGCTGGTTTCACCTGTTGGATCCTGAAACACACTAAAACGCACAAAACCTAGCGTAAAACCACCCTTTTAGGAATTCAAATGCTACAAACGCCCAAGGGAAATGGGGATAAAATCCGTGCAAGTAGGCCCGAATCACTCCCACACACTTAGACGTTTGCTTGTCCCCAAGCAAACCATTTCACACAAGGTAATATCTCAACCTATCAAAATGCTTTGGGGACAAATCAAAGGGCACAAAGTGGCGAATCTCAAATGGCTATTTGCAATAAACACAAGGACCATTGTAAGCAATACCGACATCCACCACAAACGATACTCGAGGCTACTAGAAGTGGGAAAATGAAAAGTTATCACCTTGTTCATGAATAAATGCAAGTTTCAACAAGATCACTTACCAACCACAACTAACCATGCATAGAGTTCAAGTCCAAGGAACAAACGGATGGGCAACAAAGGCCCTCACCGGGGTATGATATGACATGCAAAACATGAATGCATCACTCACTCTCTTGACCAGTGGGGTCGGGACCTTTGGGTGCAAAGAATGTGCACAATCATCAACACTCGGCCCTGTCGTCTCAACACCACGGCGGAAACCTCTAAACGCTAGAGTTCACGGAATGGTTGTCATCACTAGCTTGTCCGGAGGTCTTAGACATGGGTTCAAATGACTGGTGATTGTCTTGGACATGGGGAAAAGGCTTTTTGGGTGGTGGAAAACACATCATGAGGTCCCACATCTTCACCCTAAACCGAAGGTTCTATGGTTTCGACTAAGAACCTTCCTTACAAACAACAACCACTAGCATCGGCCAAAACCTTGCTTCTCCCTTCCAAACTATCACCCATCATGAACTTCCCTTAAGCGCTCTTCCTCGGTCTACTCTTGCTATCCCATTTCGAATTGATAGTGAAGGAGTTCTAAGACAATGTGGAGGCTTCAATGCTATTGTGCCAAGAAACCTCACCTAGAGCATACTCTTTGATTCCTTGTGGCACTCTCTACTTTATTTACCCTGTTTTATTACCTCTTTTTCGTTTCTCTTTCTTTTTCTTTCTTTCTACTTTCCTTTTCTTTTCTTTTTGAGGGGGGTACTAGAGACTTAAACATTTGCCACACTACTTTTAACGATCAATGCTCTCTTTTTAAGAAGTCACTCCAACACTACTCTTCCTTTCACTTTCGTTCCTAGCAAGAACCGCACACAATCCTCCTATATATAACCTCAATGGAGCTCAAAAGCGAGAGCTCTAGGACACATGGACGACACACGTATAGACACGAAGAAAGGATGGGGGTTCGTTCTATCAACACCATTAAGCTCACAAGCAAAAAGCTCCTAACATGAGAACGACCCCCAAAGTCACAAGGCTCAAAGGGGTTTTCTAGTGGATAAATCATTTCGGGACAATCAATATTTGGGCGTGGACTAATCCTATTCCTCCATCATACTCACTAGTGACAACTGTGATGTTACTCACCACGGTAAGAGGGATTTAAGAATACAAGAAGAAAACGATCGGCTCAAAGTTCACATGGCTACCTAGTCACCCAACCATCTATTCCAATTCACAAAGCAACATGCATGGCAATTGTAATAAACAAGTAATCGAGCATCATGCAAGCGCTTCGTCTTTTCCTTGTCAATTTTGGTGTTCTCGTAGGCTTAGAGACGCGACTCCTCGAGTTCAAGCACCTGCAACTTTCGTTCATTTCCACACAAAATAGGGTCCATATTCAATAGCTTTGTGGCCCAGAAAGCCTTGTACTCTAGATCTACGGGAAAGTGACAAGCCTTTCCATACACC